GTGATGGGTCATAATAATCATATACATTGTATATTGACAAAATAAAAATTTAACGGAAAAAGAAAACAAGGAAATAGAGCATATCAAACATTAAAAAAAAAAAATTAATGATACCAAAAACTGAGAGGGATACCATGGGGAATCAGAGGACAATCAAACTGGCATTTACAGAGAAGATTAAAGATGACAATATATGTCTGTGTCTGACATAACAATCCAGAGGTAGGCAAGTGTCCTTAGTCAGGTGAGTGACTGTGCTCCATTAGGTCACTCAGGTTGGCAGGTGGCACTACCAACCTCAAGAAAGAGCTTCACTTCCTCCATCTAAATCACTGCTCCTGCAACACTAGTTTGCAGCCAGCATGAAGTAAAAACAGTGAAGAGGCAGCTGTTTTCCTGTTAAAAATTCAAGAAGACTTGGTATTTCCAACAGCGATAAATATCCTTCTGCCTAAAGTACACATTTGAGAGATATTTGAGTTACGGACTGACTGATAAAATCACTATTTTTGTTTGTTTGTTCATAACTTTAATTCTGAAAATGTATTTATGGGATTCATGGAAATAAATTTTTGAGCATAAAATTATATTTGTGGCAGCCTGTTTGAAGTTGTCACTTATCATTTGATGATTACTGTTACAAAACCATCTGTGTAAATAACTATTTTCCTTTGAAAGAAATTGGTCTTTTCTTTCTCAAACTTCTTTTTATCTCTTCAATTTACCCTTGGTTTTCTAAAGCTTCAATGTATTGAGTTTAATTTGTTCTTTAGTTTTTTACATACAGCTTTCCATATAAATCTTAATGAATCAAGATAAAATTAAGATCTGTGGTAACAAATTCAGCGTGATACATTTTTTTTATTGTCCTATTCTCTGTTCTCACATTTTGTGTTTATTATTGTTATAAATATACTCTCTCTATATGTTACAAACCCCATAATATAATATTGTGATTATACTGTTGTATAATTTTATGTCTATTAAATTAGTTGAGAAATGAGGAAGAATAAGCACATATTTACATAGCTTATTACAATAACCTTCTTATTTACTATTTCTGCTTTGCTTTTTGTGGGATTGACTTTCCAACTATGGTCATTTTCTTTGTCCAATACAATTCTACTTGTCTTGTGATTGTCAACAAATATGTTATATTTCTTTATGTTTTAGGTCCAAAAATAAAATTACATACATATTTTATACAATTTCTTTTCAAATCAATAAAGACAGGAATAGAGTAAACATACACAAGTTTCCTTTACACTAACATTTTTAAATTTATTGATGCTTTTTGATATTCTAAAATATGGATTCAAATTTTCATTCAGATTTACTTGCTTTTGTTATAAAGAATTTCTTTTTAAAAAATATTTGTCAAAGGTCACTTTTGCTAGCATTGAATTGTTTCTGATCTTATTTATCTTGCATTGTTTTTATTTGCCACTATTATTGAAAGATAGTGTTGCTGGAATAAGATTCTTGCTTGACAGGTTTCCTTTGTTTTCATTTCGTTTCGTTTTGTTTTTCAGGCAGCACTTAGAATATGTCATCCCGTTGCCTTCTGATGTACATTGTTTCTGAGTAGAATTCTGCTGTTAATATACTAGCCTTCCCTGCTATGTAAAGGATTTTGCAACTCTTGCTGCTTTCAAGGCTGTCGTTGTCATTGTCTTTCATATTTTTGCTATGATGTGAAACTCTTTTTTTACTCTATTTGAAGTTCATTGAGCTTCTTGGATTAAAAGTACTGTTTTTTATTTTTATTTTTCCAGAAAATTGGCAAGTTGTTAGCCATTATTTCTTCAACTATTCTTTTCTGATTCTTTCATTCCTCTTCTTTTGATTCTTTACTTTTTCTTTTTTCTTCCGATTCTTTTCATCCCAACTAAGGCAAGGGTTGAGATCCCCTTACTGGTCATCTTAAAAAAAAAAAAAAGAAATATGGATATTAGTAACTTATCAAATATATGATTTGCAAATATCTTTTCTCATTTGGTACTTTATCATTTCAATTTTATAATAGTATTCTAATAATTAATTTTATTCATTGGGGCTAAATTAGCTCATTCATAGCAAAATTGTTTTAAGGATGGGAGATTGTAAAATATTGGGTAATGGCTTGGAACTGAAATGATAGATGAGCCAGTGGATTCAGGTTTTAGTTGTCCTGGGTCCAAAAGAATGAAAAATTGAGCCCATTTCCAAAGCATACCCCTTATCCATGAAATTGATGAAGTCACTTCAATATTAAAGTTCATCTTTGCCAGTGAAGTATTAGATGGAGAATTCAGGAGGCATTGGATATTTAGACCTTGTTATATGGGACTATTCAGTCAGTAACAGGAATAGAGGCATGCACCTAGAGTTTGGGAGGAGACTCTCCCTGAAAAATATATTTAGCTGGAATGAGAGAGGAATCAGAGTCCTTTGTTGCCATTCCTGAGAACTGCTCAAGATCACAGGTCTGAGGAGTTTGAAATCAAGAATTCTCAATTCCTCAACAAAAGTCTCTTTACCAAAAGACGAATTTGTCAGGGCACTAACAAATAAGAGTAGGTACCTTTGGGAGCTCAAGTAAGGTGGAAAAGTGAAATGGAAGTTTGATTTCATACCTTGACAAATGACACACAATTGAATCACCTATCACTCTAAAATGAATATGTTTCACTGTGCGTCAGAATCATTGCCTATCTCCTCTTTCATCCACCAATAAAATTTAAACTGCAGTTTGAAAATAATTTTCTTTCACTCTCGCTGTTTTTGATTGTAGACCCAGTGTCCTACTGTTAACATTTTTTAATACTAAGAGCAATTAACTATATTAGTTTGTGTATTCTGTGCACTTATTCATTCATTCAACAATGATTTTTGACACCCAGTCTAGTCATTGAGAATGCAGACATATCAAAGCTAATGACGTTTTAATGACTTTCACCCCATTCGGTCACAAAAAGTTTTATGAGATTTTGTAGTGGATTGAATCATGCCTCCAAAAACTCACCAGAGCTTGAATGGTCTTCCCCAAATTTTATGTATTAGAAATTTAGCCCCCACTGTGACTGTTAAGACAGTGGGCAATCCTATTATGGTCATTGAAAGGTGGAGCCTTGAAGAGGTGCTTGGAGGGTAGGAAAATGCTGTAGTGAATGGATCAGGGGTGTGGTTCTGAGAGCTTTAAAAGAGGAGGGTCTCTTGCTCTCTGCTCTCTCTGCTTCCACCATCTTGGAATCTGAGGTCAGATATGAGATGCATCTGAATGTGAGACAGTGATCGGTCACTGTCTCTGCCACCAGATGGTCTTTGGACTTCTCAGCCTCAGAAACTGCAAGCAATAAATTTCATTTCTTTTTAAAATACCCAGTTCTCTGTATTTTGTTATAAGCAACATAAAACAAAAACGGACTAATACACTTTTGATCAATCTTTTTTTAGTGTTTCAGAACCACACATACATTATCCCAAGCACAGTGAAGAATTACATTATAAGAACTGATGTTCATACATTATGGTTTCAGACAGACACACTCCCATTTCTCTACATGATAGCTTCAAGTGAGAGAACATCATGTGAAAAAACTTCATTGCAAGCAATGATCAGCTAAATCCAAATGTTAAGAAAGACTGATGAAAATTTAACATTTTTTAAGATATTTTAGTTGGTACATGTGTGAGCTCTTTGCACGTGTTTTGCAATACATTGTTTTCCACCTTTATTTCACTTATTCTATGAATATGCCAAAACCTTCTCCACCACGAGCTCCTTCTAGGATCAAAAGTTGATGAATAGAAAATCATAATTAGTCCATCTGGTCCTGAGATGGCATGCCTGCCTGAAGCCAGTCCGCAGATCCTCCACTGCCTCCCTCGCCTGACTCCCCACCCTCTGCATCAAGCTCCATCCACTGGGAGGTCTTTTCTTCTCCTTTGTTGAGCTCAATATATCTCCATTATCAGTATGCATTTTGCCTACAAGCTGGGTTTACTTTATTTGAAAATGATACTTGTTACTCCTATAAACTTGATTTTTAGTTTTCCAATTGATCTTTTTCAACTGAGAAAATAGTTAAGTGTTCTGAGTTGAGTGGAATGCATCATAAATTTTTCCAATAAAAAAGATTGAGCATATTTTGGCATTTAATGGCTTTTGACTTTGTGTTAGAGTTTTCAGGAACCAGTCATTACCATCATTTGAGGTATCATTGCACATGATTAAATAAGACAAATTTTGTTAGTGAATGCTGGTATTCTAGGGGTAGTAGGAAAGTGAGCCATGCAGGAAACAATATTTATGTAAGTGAAAGTGAATAGAATAATTTCTGGAATTAACAAGTTATAAAAATAAATGTCAATGGGATACAATGTCTGGGGCTGTGAGACTGCTTATTTTTGGTGACCAGGGAAATTCCCTGAGTTATATTCGAGATGCCTCTGAATGGTGAGGAGGCACCATGTGACCACATGTCTGAATACAAACAGCAAAGATAAAGGTAACAACCACAGGAAGTGTGAGGACCAGGAAATTTCAGATAATGTTTAAGTTTTTATTGAAAAAAACATGTTTTTTCTCTAGCAGTATGAAAGCCTTCTGTGACTATTTTTCCTGATAGGATAACATTTATTTTATCATTTCTCTAGTCAAGCACCTTGGCCTGGGCCACACCCATGATGCAGAATGTTCCCTCACTCAGAAACTGGAAGCCCAGATCTGCGCCCTTTGCTGCTGTTTTAAATGTTCCCCAAAGCCCCTCCTGCCACTCAAGCCCTTATTGTTGGTTGGTCACTTTCTCTGGGTGACAATAACCTGAGGCAGGGACAGCACTGGACCCTGGATGTGGGCCTGTGGTCCTTCAGGTCCTAGTGTTCTGGCTCCAGCTGAAAAGAGGAATGTGGAAGTTCCATGTGTGAGGTTCACAGGTTCCATGAGAGTGAGGCTGAGACCACTGCTCAGCGAGCACAGAATTCACTGCTTGATCAGCCAGCACGACTTTGCTGGGAAGACCATGGAGTGGACTATCATTAACACTGGGGAATATTTGTGCTTTGTTTCCATCTGAGGTTCTAGTGGCAAGTTGTGTGAGCCCAGTCTCCAGCTTCTGTCTCAATTTTGCCACGAAAGAGGGTCTCTGTCACCTGCTCAGAAACAGCAGAACCCAGGGCAGGTTTCAAAGGTCCATCCACGTGTTATGTGTACCTTGGCCACACTGCATCCCCCAGCTGAGTGTAGTGGCCGCAGAACAGGCTCTTGCTTACCATTTAGCNGGCCACACCCATGATGCAGAATGTTCCCTCACTCAGAAACTGGAAGCCCAGATCTGCGCCCTTTGCTGCTGTTTTAAATGTTCCCCAAAGCCCCTCCTGCCACTCAAGCCCTTATTGTTGGTTGGTCACTTTCTCTGGGTGACAATAACCTGAGGCAGGGACAGCACTGGACCCTGGATGTGGGGCTGTGGTCCTTCAGGTCCTAGTGTTCTGGCTCCAGCTGAAAAGAGGAATGTGGAAGTTCCATGTGTGAGGTTCACAGGTTCCATGAGAGTGAAGCTGATACCACTGCTCAGCGAGCACAGAATTCACTGCTTGATCAGCCAACACGACTTTGCTGGGAAGACCATGGAGTGGACTATCATTAACACTGGGGAATATTTGTGCTTTGTTTCCATCTGAGGTTCTAGTGGCAAGTTGTGTGAGCCCATTCTCCAGCTTCCTTCTCAATTTTGCCATGAAAGAGGGTCTCTGTCACCTGCTCAGAAACAGCAGAAACCAGGGCAGGTTTCAAAGGTCCATCCACATGTTATGTGTACCTTGGGCACACTGCATCCCCCAGCTGAGTGTAGTGGCCGCAGAACAGGCTCTTGCTTACCATTTAGCAGCTTGGTTGTCATGATGATATTTCTGATAATTACCATCTAAAACTGTGCTGTCTCACATGGTAATCACATAGTTACAGCACATAGTTACATAGATGTAAATAAGAATTAACGAAGAGTAAAAACTTGGTCCCTCA